GGTCCTAGGCCGGCCGATGGAGGACGTGCGCTCTTCCTACACCTTCGGCCGCGAGCTCGGCCGGGGCCAGTTCGGCGTCACCTACCTCGCCACCCACAAGTCAACCGGCGCGCGCCACGCCTGCAAGTCCATCGCCGCCCGAAAACTCGCGCGCGCCGACGACGTGGAGGACGCGCGCAGGGAGGTGCAGATCATGCACCACCTCACGGGCCACCGCAGCATCGTCGAGCTGCGCGGCGCCTACGAGGACCGCCACTCCGTCAACCTCGTCATGGAGCTCTGCGAGGGCGGGGAGCTCTTCGACCGCATCATCGCGCGCGGCCACTACTCCGAGCGCGCCGCCGCCACGCTCTGCCGCGAGGTCGTCAGCGTCGTGCACAGCTGCCACTCCATGGGGGTCATGCACCGCGACCTCAAGCCCGAGAACTTCTTGTTTTTGAATAAGCGGGAGGATTCGCCGCTCAAGGCTACTGACTTCGGGCTCTCCGTCTTCTTGAAGCCCGGTCAGTACCACTTCATTGCTTGGTTAATTGCACTTATGAATTCCATTCATGGTGGTTACTGAATTTACTACTAGTGTCTGGGAAGGGACAGGGGGGAAACATTCAACGATTCGCCTTAGTTCATGTTGTCTCTGCGATTTACTAGTGTATCTTTAGTGTGCTAGCTCGCTTCAATTTAGTACAGTAGTAATAACCGAGCTCAAGTTGTGCTCGAGATTAAAGGGAAGATCATGGAAATGCAGGCGAGCAGTTCAGGGATCTTGTTGGCAGTGCCTATTATGTGGCTCCGGAGGTGCTCAAGCGGCGATATGGAGCGGAGGCCGACATTTGGAGTGCTGGAGTCATCCTCTACATTCTCCTCTCCGGCGTTCCTCCGTTCTGGGCAGGTGCGTTTTTCATCGATTTTGGGCTCTGATTCATGCAGAGGCTGGAAGGTGAATACAGTTATCCTAACACGAACGCTCTATGTCTCTCCTCCCTTGTTTTTTACCAGAGAATGAGGAAGGTATATTTGATGCTGTTCTGAAAGGTCACATTGATTTCTCGTCCGATCCCTGGCCATCGATTTCAAACGGGGCTAAAGACTTGGTCAAGAGGATGCTACGGCAGGACCCCAAGGAGCGGCTCACGGCTGCCGAAATTTTGAGTAAGTCTCTCTTCTCCAGGACTTACTCTCCCACTCATTGACAATCTTGGTTGTGGAGATCAGTCTACTCATGAGCATGATAGTGCAATGCCTAGTTTTATTTGTTAAAGCTGTCCATGCTGTCTCTACAAACTGAACCTTGTGTTCACGTCATTCTAATTCATTTAAACACACAGACCATCCATGGATCAGAGAGGATGGAGAGGCCCCAGACAAACCACTTGATATTACAGTGATCAGTAGAATGAAGCAGTTCAGGGCGATGAACAAGCTTAAGAAGGTCGCCTTGAAGGTAATCAAATAATCTGAACTCCAATCCTTTTCTTTTCTTGCTTGGCAGTCCATTTAAATCTTGGTGCTCATTTCTCTTCTATATTCAGATTGTTGCAGAGAGCTTGTCAGAGGAAGAGATCGTGGGCTTAAGAGAAATGTTCAAGTCCCTGGATACTGACAACAGTGGGACAATTACTCTTGATGAACTAAGGGCTGGCTTACCAAAGCTTGGTACCAAAATTACCGAATCAGAGATAAGACAGTTGATGGAGGCGGTATGCTTGCTTAATTTCTCTTATTCTTCTTCCTGTCTATGCACGCTTATCTTATCGGCATGGCATGGTACAAATTTCATAATAGAAACAAAAAATGGCGCATATTTCTCTCTGTTCTGCATTAATGCCTATCATGTACTAAAAGGCTGTAGTGGGTGTGCACTTACATCTAAAAAGGAAGATAAGTGAATGATACCATATGACTTTAGTCGGTATAACGACCTCAATGGAAATCGACTTGTAGACGTTTCTGGTAGAGCGGTCCGTGTCACCTGACAACTCCAGCACTTTCTGTTTCAGCTCCTTAATCATTATCTTACGTTGTTGAACAGGCTGATGTTGATGGAAATGGGACCATTGATTATGTTGAATTCATATCGGCAACAATGCACATGAATAGACTAGAGAAGGAAGACCACATATTTAAAGCATTCGAATACTTTGACAAGGACCACAGCGGGTAATTTCACTTGTAACTATTCTTAAATAAATCTGCCAACTTTTGAGTATTTCATTAACCATCAAGTTGCTTGCAAACTTTCTTTTTGCATAGGTACATAACAGTTGATGAGTTGGAAGAAGCTCTGAAGAAGTATGATATGGGTGATGAGGCAACTATCAAAGATATCATTGCTGAAGTGGATACAGATCATGTGAGTAACTCCAGCAAAAGCCTACATAAGTCCATTGTGTGTTATCTGAGCATACATTATCTCAGTCATGAAGACGTAAAATATTGAACTGATGTCAGTTTGAGAATAGAATAAATTAAACAGATCATCTTGGAGACACAGTATGAGGTTTTGTTTTAAAATGTTTGGAATTTATGTCATCTCTGTTAGATTGTGGATGTATACAAAAAATAGTGTCCATATGAGATAAAATTAACAGCCTGATTAATGTTGATGCGAAGCACCTGGACGTTGATCCAAACTGCTTTGTTTTAAGAGCTCATTTGCTTATGTTAGATTAGATAGACCAACCAAGTTCATTACTTTAATGTGAGCACCTATGCTTCGATCCATACTGCTTTGTGTAAGAACTCATTTTGTTATGTTAGATTAGGTAAACCAACAGAGTTCATCGCTTTCATGTAAGCTTCAGCCATGAGGAAATCATGCCTTCAAACAATTTGCTTTAACCTTTTTGGTGGATGGGAACATTACTAGTCCTGATGCTCACAAGTTCATTCAAATGAAGCACTACTTAACTCGCTTGCTCACTACTGCATTTCCTATTTTTCTACCTAGGATGGGAAAATTAACTACCAGGAGTTTGTTGCGATGATGAAGAATAACAGCCCAGAGATTGTTCCAAATCGAGCGGCGCTTGTTTTAAGTCTTCCAATGGTTTATGCGAAGCTTGCGACTTCTGTTGTTGCATTGAGACCGGTGATCAGTCGAGATCTTCTTAATTGGTGAGGAATGAGCGAAGCCATTCATACTCAGCGACGGAATTATCTGCAAGTGATCCTTTATACTTGGACACACTATCTATCACCGAGAACTCTCCCCTTCAATGTGTTCTGAGCTAGGTGGCACTTTCTTGTGCTACCATGTTATACCATTCACGCCCGTAAAAAAAAAATGTTATACCATTCACATGTATCCTTATGAGTTATGACTTATGGGGCGAGCCGTCTGGTTTTCTGTTTCCTCCAATTGATCATTTATGTAAGAAAGGGTTTGTAAAACACTTAAATGATCATATCAAGGAAGATCACGCTTCCAGATGAATATAGCGTAAATGAAGGTATCCGCAAGCGATCCTTTGTACTTGAACACATTATCCATCATCTACAACTATTACCCTTCATGTGTTTTGAGCTGGGTGGTACTTTCTTGTGCCATTATACCATCTCATCTTACATTTCAACATGTATCCTTTTAGCTTATGAGGCAAACCATCTTGTTTTGTGCTTCGTTTACTTGATCGTTTATGTAATAAAAGGGTTTGTAAAACATTTCCAAATGACCATATCATCGGTTATGTAATAAAAGATTTGTAAAACATTTCCAAACGACCATATCAAGGAAGATCATGTTTCAAATGAATATAACAAAACATACCTCCAAACCTGCATCACTACAGAGGTATGATTTTCATGACAGGCTTCTAAAGCACATATTGTACAGATAGGAGATATCATGGCCTGCCATCTTCAAGAGATACAACTGCATTTTACTTAGATTGTACTAGTTATTACAACAAACTTCATTTACACCAAGAGAGGATCATCGGGCTGAGATACTTTTCATCTTTGCCGACTTGTGCTTGATAAACAGAGATGCTAGCATGCTCTTCGTGCTGGCAGGAGCCTTCTGGATTTCACGCCCTGTAGCCCTGTCGAAAGAACTAAACGTCGACATATGCTTGACACCCGGCTGATCCTGAAAATGCACATGACGATACCGTCAAGAAACCAGGGTAACCGAATCGAAATCGACGTGGATAGAGTAGGACGCGAGGATGATGCCCTTCTAAGTCAGTGTGTTTTGTTGAAAGGTTTACATCATATTCTGTTTTAGTTTTACCTTTGTGCCAGCCTTTTGTGTAACATCGGATTTGGTATTCCGGTTCAGTTGCAGAGGCCTGCGCATGGGGGAAGCAGGCTGCTCCTTACCTGAAACATCAGTGATTTGGATGGAATGTTCAGTTGACATTCCATGCTCAAATACTACTACGTTCATTCAGACCAACAGTTAATAATATGTGAACTTAATGGGTGAAATTGCATTCATATGTGTCCACTGCCTGCCTCTAAAGAACTCAGAATATGTGAATTACCAAGAAGATTTGAACCATCTGATGCGACTTTGGACGATATCGTGTCGTCTAGGCTGCACAAAAACCGGGCGGCAGCAAGTTAGACCAGAAGAACTGCACTTTGGCATAAGAAACAACATGTCACATTGACAAAGTTAAACGAAATGGGGATGGCAGTCTTACATGAACGTTGGTTTATGAGCTCCATTTGCCGAAGGGCTATTGTCCGACGCCAGATGCCAGGAAAGCGTCTTTGCTGCACACACAGAAAGTGAAGGTTCTTCTTTTCTTGTTTAGATATGTATCGTGATTGGCGAGAACAGAGTGGCGCAACGAAATTCGCAAGAACAGAGGGAAGTAAGAAGCACCTGAGGGGTAAGGTCTAGGCTGTGATTCCTGATTAGTGTCTGTTCCCAGGTGCGCGACAGCCTGAGTTCTCTTATAACCAGTAGCTACATTTGCACAGAAAATTCTCAAGTTATGTTCAGTTTTTTTTCACTTACTATACTAAAAATTCAGAGAAAGATAAGACTGCAAGTTCAGAATTTCTTCTTACATGGTAGGATATAGTGCTTGTGGTGCTTCATGCTCGCCCCCATCATCTGCTGCTGCCTGGAGCCTTCTTTGTCCACATAGATTTGGCAGGTGAAAACTTGCTATGGGTGGCCAACAGAGCAAGTGCCAGTTTAGCTGCGTAGTTTCGCCGCCATAGACTGCGCATCTTAGTGTAAACATCAAGCAAATACCTGGTTCAAGCGCGCAAGCTTGAGCTCGAAGGTCGAGATCTCGGAAGCCTGCTGCTCGAACAGGTCCGTCAGCTTGTAGGCCACCGTGCCTAGGTGGTCGACGGCGTTGACAACGGCCCGCACCGCGTAGTCTTTCAGGTTGTCCAGCACCCTGACGACAATTAGAGAGTTCAGTTCCATGAAAACATGCCATATTCTCAAGCAAGATTACAACACACGTTTGAAATCACTACACTGTTGACTGTTCATTCACCAAAATTTACCATACAGAGTTGATCCTTCCTCCATGTTTCAGAACTTTGTTCTGCACTGTCAGACATGAGGAGGGTGAACCCCTTTGATATAATTCGAATGAAGTGACAAACTGACACCACATGATTGGGGAACACCCAGAATAAATCCAATCGCCAGTACATGGTACTACAATAGGCTGGCTGTCGTTCAGAAAAGAGATATCTTCAGAAAACAAATAGGAGTACTGTAGTAGAGTACTCTGAATACCACCACTCCTTATTCGGCTAGTACATACGTACAAAGGCAGATGAAACCAAAATGACATATCTTGTTGAGTTCAGCTAGCAGAATTTGTTGCCTAGCTAGTCAGATACTCATATATGGACATCAATCCCCTCACTCACTCAAACCTGTCTGTTGCTCTCTTCCTACACCTACCAATATCATACAGCAGCTGTTCTGGCTAGTACATGCTGCACCAACCTTGAACTCAATTCAGTTCGGCCCCTATGCCAAGTGACAAAACAGAGACAGATATAGGGTAGGTGGCATGTAAAATGCAATTGTACGAGGAATCAACAGTACACCATGGTACTAGTAAGATGGTAAATTCTCTGTGTCAGAGTGAGAACGAGACGTGCAGAGAGGATGGCAATGGAGAGGAGAGGAGAGGAGGGGCAGGGCTCACATCTGCTTCTGGTGGGTGTTGAGGTAGGACTTCTCGCAGTACTCGGAGGCGGAGTAGAGCTGCGGCCGCAGGTTCTTGAGCTCCTGCACCCACCAAAACCGTCAAGAACAGAGCCGGCCGGATCCACCGCCGAACAGAGGTGCGTGGGAGGGATCTGGGGAAGGAATAATGCAGCGACCGACCTGCAGGGCCTTGACGAAGCTCTTGCTGCGCTCCATGGAGGCCTCGTCCACCGTGGCCCCCTCCCAGCCCCCCGGGCTCCGCCGCCGCCGCGCCGCCTGCTGCTCCTGCTCCTGCTCCTGCTGCTGCTGCATTCTCTCCCTCCCTTCCTCGAGTGGAGTGCAGAGTAAGCGTTATCAATGCGACCAACACCCAGTGGTGGGGGGTGAAGAAGAAAGGGAGAGGAGTGAGTGAGTGGAGCGCGCGCGGTGGGCGCACGGGGAGCCCGAGAGAGCTACCTCCTCACCACCTCAGCGCGCGCCGGCTAAGAGAGAGAGAGACGATCTGTAAAATGTGGCTTGGTTACGCTTGGATTTAGCGCCATTTGGTGGGTGGAACCATTGATTGGTTCACCCATTCCATTCCCCGTGCATGCTTGCTTTTGTCCCGGCCATCACACTAGTAGGAGTACAGTGGTACACTGGTGTATGGTGCTGGATCTCGCTGTCTTGAGCGGATTGTGATTGTCTTCACCAGGGCTCATGATTCCTTCCTAGCTAGATCTCGGTTAAACGTCTCAAGACACTGACAGATAAGAAGGATCTCATCTCGGTGATGCGTGACTCTAGTAAATCGTACTACTCTGCATCGAGCTAGCGGCGTGCAGGTGTCCGTAATTTGGTCATGATGCTAGCATAATTCCATCGGTGCTGCCTGAGCTGTACAGAGATGGAGATGGAGCGTGGGGGGGAGAGCGAGCAATCAATGGGGTCAGAGGCAGGTGGTGGCGATGAATGCGTGTCGGCTCGGTCAGATGTACTACTACAGTACGTACGTACAACGCGAGGGTTATGTGGAGCAATCAATAGTACACCGTAATTCCTGCCAAAAAAATAGTACACCCTAATTTTGATCATTCATGTGTATTAGGCCAACTCCAATCGCACGACCCCAAACGGACGTCCGTTTTGGCCTACTTTCGTCCGTTTGGGACGGCAATGGGGTCGCCCATGTCCGCTTGGGGCCGTTACTGTGTCGGTACGCCCAACGCTCAGCCGCACCCCAAATCATGTCCGGGGTGGACGTGCTTAAAAAATCATAAAAATTGAAAAAAAAATGCCAAAAAAATTAAAATAAATGCAAAACATAAAACATAACAACATAATTAAACATCACGCCCCCATTGCACAGTTCATATAGACATAATTAACATAAAAAAACAAAAGAAAACCGCCGCCCGCGCGCTCCTGCCGTGCCCGTCGCCGTCTCCTCACGCGTCGCCGTTGTCGTCATCGTCGCCAGTAAGATTGATGTAGCGCGGCGGCGTCCAGAGGTGGGCCGGTCCCTGGAAGGCGGGAGGCGCCTGCACCACCTCACCCCGTGGCGACGTCTCGCGCTCCGGTGACTGCGGCGGCGTAGGGCACCAGTTCACGGCCCCCACGGCGTTGGCCACGTAGGCGGCCCTGCACGACCAGCTCCACCCCTGGGCCACCAGGCCTGAGTGGAACGCAGCAACGGGCTGCTCCTCCAGCACCTCCTCCGTCACGTCCTCCCTCATCTCCAGCTCCGGCACGGCCACGACGCCGGCCGCAGAGAGGGCAATCATGGTCTCCAGGCCCTCCCATTGGTGCTCATCGTGCGTGTTCATGGAGTCTTCCATGACACGTTGAAGGAGTCGTGCCTCCTCCTCCTCCGTCATGCGAGGAGGTGGTGGTGGCGACGAAGAGGGCGAAGGCGACATCGACGGTGACGGCGACGGTGTCGGCGTGAGGCCACGCACCCGCGTACGCCCGCGCACGTGGGGAGGGCTCGGAGCACGCGCTCGCCGCTCACGTGGCCGCCGCGGCCCAGATGAGGTGCCGACCAAGAAGGACGCGCGCCACGTGTCATGCTCGTCCTGAAACCACGTGTCCCAGAGGGCGGAGTCGGGGGCGTCCCTGGGGTCATAGTAGAGGTCGTCTGGCAAGAGGCGGTGGTGGCATTCGATCTCCTCGCGACGGGCACGACCGCTCATCGGGACCGGCGGGATCGGCACCCGATCCACGGACAGATGCCATTTATTGGGGAGGTGGATATCGCTCTAGGGGAGCAGCGTCCTCGTCTCCCAATAACGCCGGCAAACATCCGCATGGATGTAGTGACGGTCGTGCTCGCCGGCGGCCGTATGGGCGATGGTGAATGCAGGCGGCGCGGGGGCCCTCCGTGGTACATGCCGTGGTGGTGATGCAGGCTCCTCTTTGACGCCGCGGCGGTGGCGGCGGCCCGAGGACGAGCCAGCCTCGTGGTCGTGCGCCCCCTTGCGACCGATGTTCCACCATCCCATGGCTGCCTGGCGGCCGGCCGGCGAGCTCGAGGAAAGGGAGAGGGAGAGCTAGGGTTTGGGGAGTGTCGGGTTTCGAGGAGGCAGCGCGGACTGGAGTGGGAAGTGTGGACTGCGACCGGTCCACGGCTTCCCATTTAAGAAGGACGACGAACGTTCGCCTGGGCGGATGATAGGTGGGGCCGACCGCGCGTGCGCATTTATATTAGGCAAGGGGAGGTAGGTGGCCGCCTGCCACGTGTCCCTGATGCGGACGAGCAGCGCGTCCGTTTTGCTGTCCGCCTGGACCCAAACCGGGCGCATGTTTGCGCTCGAAATGGCTCGGGCCGGACACAAAATGGACAAGATGGGTTCAGGCCGTCGCGCGCTGGGCCATGGGGTCTTTCTGTTTTCCCGCAAACGAACGGGGAAGGACGGGATGGGGTCGCGCGCTGGAGGTGGCCTTATGTTGTCCGCATTTCCATGAACTGGTTTTGTGTCTTTAGATGGAGAGATTTGCAATACAATGAACATTGTATTGATGGAGTGCTGGTGCACGTATATATAATACAGGGAAGGCCTCTACCTCAACTATACAAGACTAGGAGGTGGGCCACAACTCCAATACACGTGCAATATACAAAATACATACTCAACACCCCCCCGCAGTCGAAGCATCGCCGGAGACACAGAGACTGGATCGAAACTCCTCAAACACGGGAGTAGGCAATCCCTTAGTCATCACATCAGCAAACTGTTGCGTCATTTGCACGTGAAGAACCCGAACACGGCCAAGGGCAACCTGCTCGCGCACGAAGTGAATATCGAGCTCAATATGCTTCGTACGTCGATGGTGCACCGGGTTGGTGGAGAGGTAGACCGCGCTGACGTTATCGCAATAGACAAGAGTGGCCTTGTGAACATCACAAAGCAACTCCTGAAGCAGCTGGCGTAGCCAAGAGCATTCGGCCACGGCATTAGCCATGACGCGATACTCTTCCTCAACGCTGGAGTGGGAGACCGTGGGCTGCCGCTTCGATGACCAAGAGATCAACGAGGGCCCAAGGTAGACATAGTAGCCTGACGTAGAGCGTCGAGTGTCGGGGCAGCCAGCCCAGTCGGCATCTGAGTAGGCCACGAGGTCGGTGGAGGCGGAGGCTGTCAGGATGAGTCCCAAAGACATGGTGCCGCGTACATAACGGAGAAATATGCTTCACCAAGGTCTAGTGAGAGTCACGCGGAGCGTGCATGTGGAGGCACACCTGCTGGACAGCGTACTGCAGGTCGGGTCGGGTGAGCGTCAGGTACTGTAGAGCACCGACGATGGAGCGATAGAACGCTGCATCGGACGCGAGAGACCCCTCCAGAGCAGAGACCTTCGCCTTCGTGTCGACGGGGGTGGGCGCCGGCTTGAAGTTAAGCATGCCGGCATGCTCCAGGAGCTCGTGGGCATACTTCTGCTGATGCAGAAAGAAGCCATCAGGCCGTCGGACCACCTCGATGCCGAGGAAGTAGTGCAGGGGCCCCAAGTCCTTGAGGGCAAACTCATCATGAAGACGAGCAGTCAGCCGCTGAAGGAGATTGGGAGCGGACGCCGTGAGGATGATGTCGTCGACATAGATCAGCAGATATGCAGTGTCAGCTCCCTGATGATACACGAAGAGTGAAGCATCAAAGTGAGTGGACCGAAATCCCAGAGACTGCAGGAAGGCTGTGATACGCTGGTACCAAGCCCGAGGCACCTGCTTCAACCCGTAAAGAGAACGGGAGAGCAAGTGCATGAAGTCGGGGTGCGCGGCATCGATGAAACCAGTGGGCTGCTCACAGAACACCTGCTCGGTGAGATAGCCGTGCAAGAAGGCGTTGGAGACATCCAACTGGTGCACAGGCCAGGCGCGCGAGACCGCCAGCTGGAGCACGGCGCGAATCATGCCTGGTTTCACAACCGGGGCGAAGGTGTCGGTGAAGTCCACGCCCGCGCGCTGCCGGAAACCATGAACCACCCACCGAGCCTTGTAGCGCTCGAGAGAACCGTCTGGACGAGTCTTGTGGCGAAACACCCACTTGCCAAAGATGATGTTAGCACGAGGGGGTCGCGGAACAAGCTTCCATGTGCAGTTGCACTGTAGGGCGTCGAATTCCTCCTGCATCGCAGCTAGCCAATGGGGATCCCGAAGGGCAGCGCGAGAGGAGGTGGGGATGGGTGATGGCGTCGACGTCGAGGTGGCGCACACATACTCGTCGGAAGGGTAGCGCGTGCTCGGCCGAAGTACTCCTCCTCTGGCACGGGTAGTCACGCCAAGCGGCGGGACAGCAGGGTCGGTGGTGACGACGGGGGCCGCGGTGGCGACAGGGGCCGCGACAGCCACAGGGGCGCCGGGGGTGATGGGGGCACCCGCGGCGGCGGGGGCCGCGGCGCCAGTAGCGCCGGCCGAGCCGGCAGCAGAAGGGGCGACGGGTGAGGAGGACGTCGAGC